ATTATAGACATAAAAAAAGTCTGCTTTAAAATTCAAAATTGTTGATGAAAGTTTTACACACTACATTATAATTTGATTTCTAGATATTTTTTTCCAGAAGAACTTATCTGCTCTCCTCGTCCGAATTTGTTGCTAATTCTTTACAATATGATATTTTATACCAAATACCATAGTTTTAATGATAGGATATTATAGAAGTGAAATATATTATTTTATAGTAGTATACATAATTCCGTTTTTATTAACTTGTGATAAGAAATAAACTTTTTATTCATTATATCAGATGCATGTAAAATTCATGAACACATATGTTACACTATCAGTATAATTCTCGAAGTAAATAGGCACTTGAATAGATTTCTCGGTTACTATACTATATCCATCCAACAAGGAGAGTATTCAAAACAACGATAGACGCGTGATAGAAGCGTCAATACTAAATCTATTGGTTGAAATAAACACGCCTCCTTACGCTGGCTAATTAGAATCAACTGTAATCGACTGGCGGAATTCGCGTCACAGAGTCGGAGTGGTCAGTTGTTTTAACGCCTGAGGTGGTGTGTATAATATATACGGTATTTTAATGTTAAACATTTTTAAAATGTCAAGTAATGATACGTCTGAAGAAGCTGTTAAGTTTTGACCCTAAACTCAACCTGAAAACACATGAAAAAACTGCAGCTAAAAAAATAAAATTTTCGTCATTCCTTAGTGCGACTCTGTTTTGAAGCACTCCTCTTGTTGGATGGACAGAGTATAGGTGGTTATGAATGAACTTTCAATGTGTTTTCGCAAGGAGTTATGACTTTTTAATGAAAATTGAATTAAGGGTAGTCGGGGGTGTACTTCCGCGAGACTGAATCAGCGACCCTTCTGGGGTTAACAAGCATGCCAAATTGGATGGTTTCATAGAAAAATTTTCCCAGCAATGTGTTTCTGCTAGGAGTTATGATTTTTTCTAATGAAAATTGAATTAAGGGTAGAAGGGGCTGTATTTTCGTGAGAACAAATCATTGACCCCTCTGGGGTTAATAAGCATGCCAAATTCGGTGGTTTCATGGAAAAATATTCCCAGCAATGTATTTCTTCAAGGAGTTATGATTTTTTTAATGAAAATTGAATTAAGGGTAGTCGGGGTGTTCTTTCGCGAGACTAAATCAGCGGCCCTTCTGGGGTTAACAAGCTTGCGAAATTCGATGGTTTCATGAAAAAATACTTCCAGCAATGTGTTTCTGCAAGAGTTATGATTTTTTCTAATGAAAATTGAATTAAGGGTAGAAGGGGGTGTATTTTCGTGAGACAAAATCAGCGACCCCTCTGTGGTTAATAAGCATGCCAAATTCAATGGTTTCATGAAAAAATATTCCCAGCAATATGTTTCTGCAAGGAGTTATGATTTTTTCTAATGAAAATTGAATTAAGGGTAGAAGGGGGTGTATTTTCGTGACACAAAATCAGTGACCCCTCTGGGGTTAATGAACATGCCAAATTCGATGGTTTCATGGAAAAATATTCCCAGCAATGTGTTTTTGCAAGGACTTATGCTTTTTTAAATGAAAATTGAATAAAGGGTAGTCGGGGGTGTTCTTTCGCGAGACTAAATCAGCGACCCTTC